TGGATGAAAGACCTCTGCTGGAGAAGTCTGTCATCGTTATGATTTCATCTGTCGTCTATTCACCCGCTGTTCCATTGCCGGTCTCATGGCGTGATGATGAGACCAGGATCTGGCTTCTTTATCTGCACCTGTGGACTGTTTACCCCGGGCAAAGGAAAAGACTGATGCTGCGAAGCGTCTCTGAAAGTCCAGAAAAGCGCAGTATAAAACACATGCGTTATTGAGTTATTAAATTTTGAATTTCATATTTTAGAACCAGAAATAATGTGTCAATGAGGACCATGTGGGTTAGGGTTAGCCATGTAGCACTAAACCTGGTTATTACTATTACTAGCCCCATACTGGACACTACTGTCCCTGGTCAACAGAACACAGGTGAACATGTCTGTTAGATTTGGATCACAGTCTGTCTCTGAAAACAAAGCTGTGTTAAAACAGCCGCTGTATGAACTGCCAAAGACAATGCGGTGCTGTGGGGGAAGGTCCATGGATCATGTCTGCGCCTGTCCCCTCTCATAATGAAAAATAAACACTACATTAACTCGGGACACTCCTCCGTCCCATCGTCTGCTCGGAGGAGCCTCCTCAGGTGGAGCCCGGAGGCTGAGCACGGCTGGACGGACACAGAGGTGTCTAGTGGAGAGTGATGATGAGGAGGAGGAGCGCTTCATCGTGTGCCCCACTGCGCTACGAGGAGGTCTGGAGGAGGTCTGGAGGAGGTCTGGAGGAGGTCTGGAGGAGGTGCACATGAGGACGATCCATCAGGAGGACATTGGACTGATTGGGCTGATTCATAAGTCAAATGAAATTACACCTGAGCCCCTGGAATCTTCCTCCGGACGTTTTTATGGATACAATTACTCCATGAACCTGTTTCTATCATTAATCTTTGATATTGTGGCATGAGGATGATCTATGTGTAGAGTTTAATACTAACAGTAGAAGAACAAGAACAGGGTCTGAGACGGACCAGGCCTCGGCCCAAAGCACAGGCACCAGCTGAGCACCAGAGAGGGCAGTTTCTCCATGGTCTGGCCTCTTACCTGAAGGAGGAGCCACCACCTCAGAGAAGAGCCATTTATTCACTAGTCGCTAATCACAGACCGTAGACTGGCCCAGAGACTGTAGAAGTGGACCGGCCCAGAGACTGTAGAAGTGGACCGGCCCAGAGACTGTAGAAGTGGACCGGCCCAGAGACTGTAGAAGTGAACCGGCCCAGAGACTTTAGAAGTGAACCGGCCCAGAGACTGTAGAAGTGGACCGGCCCAGAGACTTTAGAAGTGGACCGGCCCAGAGACCGTAGAAGTGGACCGGCCCAGAGACTTTAGAAGTGAACCGGCCCAGAGACTTTAGAAGTGAACCGGCCCAGAGACTGTAGAAGTGGACCGGCCCAGAGACTTTAGAAGTGGACCGGCCCAGAGTTTGTAGAAGTGGACCGGCCCAGAGATTGTAGAAGTGGGCCGGCCCAGAGCCTTTAGAAGTGGACCGGCCCAGAGATTGTAGAAGTGGGCCGGCCCAGAGCCTTTAGAAGTGGACCGGCCCAGAGATTGTAGAAGTGGACCGGCCCAGAGACTTTAGAAGTGGACCGGCCCAGAGATTGTAGAAGTGGACCGGCCCAGAGACTTTAGAAGTGGACCGGCCCAGAGATTGTAGAAGTGGACCGGCCCAGAGACTTTAGAAGTGGACCGGCCCATAGCTGACGTCACCGTTAGCCTTGTCCTGTTGTGGAAGAAGCTGATTAGAGCAAAGACTTTACTGTCTCATGACCGACACACACTCAGAAGTCACACACACACACTCAGAAGTCACACACACACTCAGAAGTCAGACACACACTCAGAAGTCAAACACACACAATCAGAAGTCACACACACAATCAGGACGCTGTCTTGACAAAAACATACAATCAAACAGTTTGGAGACACGTTGGCATTAGTCCAAACTACATATTCAAGACAGAAAGCTGACATTTAGGTCTTGTAAAATAATTCTTCAAAAAAATGCAGAAAACAGTTTGAGAATCCATGTAGAGGAGAGAGGACAGAGGGTGATTCTCCCGATGGTTACGGGAGTGAGTGAAAACAGCACAGTATTTAGAGATCTCTCCATTGTGTCCTTGGGAACCTCAGGGAGACCCATATTGAGAGAGGGATCCCTGGGATGGGCATCTTGTAGATCCAGGACTGAGGCTGTAGACCCAGGACTGAGGCTGTAGACCCAGGACTGAAGGACTGAGGCTGAGACCAGGGCTAAAGTCGTCACCTCACGTCTTATTAAAACACTTCTTTCACCATATCGCCTCAGCTCCCTCCATCGCCTCAGCCCCCTCCATCCCCTCAGCTCCCTCCATCGCCTCGGCTCCCTCCATCGCCTCAGCCCCCTCCATCCCCTCAGCTCCCTCCATCGCCTCAGCCCCCTCCATCCCCTCAGCTCCCTCCATCGCCTCAGCCCCCTCCATCCCCTCAGCTCCCTCCATCGCCTCGGCCCCCTCCATCCCCTCAGTCCCCTCCATCCCCTCAGCTCCCTCCATCCCCTCAGTCCCCTCCATTGCCTCAGCTCCCTTCATCCCCTCAGCCCCCCTCCATCGCCTCAGCCCCCTCCATTGCCTCAGCCCCCTCCATCCCCTCAGCCCCCTCCATTGCCTCAGCTCCCTTCATCCCCTCAGCCCCCTCCATCGCCTCAGCCCCCTCCATCCCCTCAGCCCCCTCCATCGCCTCAGCCCCCTCCATCCCCTCAGCCCCCTCCATCTCCTCAATCCCCTCCATAGCCTCAGCCCCCTCCATCCCCTCAGCCCCCTCCATCGCCTCAGCCCCCTCCATCCCCTCAGCCCCCTCCATTGCCTCAGCTCCCTTCATCCCCTCAGCCCCCTCCATCCCCTCAGCCCCCTCCATTGCCTCAGCTCCCTTCATCGCCTCAGCCCCCTCCATCCCCTCAGCCCCCTCCATCCCCTCAGTCCCCTCCATCCCCTCAGCCCCCTCCATCTCCTCAATCCCCTCCATAGCCTCAGCCCCCTCCATCCCCTCAGCCCCCTCCATTGCCTCAGCTCCCTTCATCCCCTCAGCCCCCTCCATCCCCTCAGCCCCCTCCATTGCCTCAGCTCCCTTCATCCCTTCAGCCGCCTCCATCGCCTCAGCCCCCTCCATCTCCTCAGTCCCCTCCATCCCCTCAGCCCCCTCCATCCCCTCAGCCCCCTCCATCTCCTCAGTCCCCTCCATCGCCTCAGCCCCCTCCATCGCCTCAGCCCCCTCCATCCCCTCAGTCCCCTCCATCCCCTCAGCCCCCTCCATCGCCTCAGCCCCCTCCATCCCCTCAGCCCCCTCCATATCCTCAGCCCCCTCCAATGCCTCAGCTCCCTTCATCCCCTCAGTCCCCTCCATCGCCTCAGCCCCCTCCAATGCCTCAGCCCCCTCCATCCCCTCAGCCCCCTCCATCCCCTCAGCCCCCTCCATCGCCTCAGCCCCCTCCATCTCCTCAGTCCCCTCCATCCCCTCAGCCCCCTCCATCCCCTCAGCCCCCTCCATCTCCTCAATCCCCTCCATAGCCTCAGCCCCCTCCATCCCCTCAGCCCCCTCCAATGCCTCAGCCCCCTCCATCCCCTCAGCCCCCTCCAATGCCTCAGCCCCCTCCATCCCCTCAGCCCCCTCCATCCCCTCAGCCCCCTCCATCGCCTCAGTCCGTGACATTTATAAGTGCCGTAATTGCCGCCAGCTCTAAATGAAATGAACAACAGTAGCTCTGGCCTGGTTTTCTGGCTCCTCCTCAGTGAAACCGCCCGGGGCCCCGCAGCCGCTGAGGGGACTGTGGACGACCCGGGGCCCCACAGCCGCTGAGGGGACTGTGGACGACCCGGGGCCCCACAGCCGCTGAGGGGACTGTGGACGACCCGGGGCCCCACAGCCGCTGAGGGGACTGTGGACGACGCGGGACCCAGGGGACGATGGTGATTAAATGGAAGGTGGTGATTGAAAACGCTGCAGTAGCTCCGGGACACGGGGCCGAGGACAGATGGGGTTCCTTTCTGCAGGCGACAGAACAAGAGCCCGGTCCAGAAGCAGAGGGAGAATGTTCCAGAGAGAAGCCGGAGACGCCGACCCGAGCTGCCAAAACATGTCCGTTTCTGAGGTAGATTTAGACTCCTGCTTTGTCTGAATATAAACAGTGTTTCTGCAGGAGCCATGGATTTATCCCATTGTTCTGGATGTAATCATTCCCACTGGTTGTGTGCTGTTTTGCTGGTTGTGTGCTGTTTTGCTGGTTGTGTGCTGTTTTGCTGGTTGTGTGTTGTTTCGCTGGTTGTGTGTTGTTTCACTGGTTGTGTGTTGTTTTGCTGGTTGTATGTTGTTTTGCTGGTTGTGTGTTGTTTCTGCAGGTTGTGTGTTGTTCCCACTGGTTGTGTGTTGTTCCCACTGGTTGTGTGTTGTTTTGTTGGTTGTGCGTTGTTTCTGCAGGTTGTGTGTAGTTCCCACTGGTTGTGTGTTGTTTTGTTGGTTGTGTGTTGTTTCTGCTGGTTGTGTGTTGTTTCTGCTGGTTGTGTTTTGCTGCAGGTTGTGCGTTGTTTCTGCTGGTTGTGTGTTGTTTTGCTGGTTGTGTTTTGTTTCTGCAGGTTGAGTGTTGTTTCTGCAGGTTGTGTTTTGTTTCTGCAGGTTGTGTGTTGTTTCACTGGTTGTGTGTTGTTTTCATTGTGTGTTGTTTTCGCAGGTTGTGTGTTGTTTCCACTGGTTGTTTGTTGTTTTCATGGTGTGTTGTGTGTGTCTGAATGTGTGACCGGAGTAATAATAGTGTGTGTGTCCTTGAGCAGTGCCCTGTGGATCTCATTCTGCCTGATCCGAGCCTCCACCTGTGGCAGCTGCTGTTTAAGGCCCACTCCTCACCCAGTCTGGGACCGGGGGAGGAGGGGGGAGGACAGGGGGGGGGGGGGGGGGGGGGGGGGGGGGGAGGGGGGAGGACGGGGGGGGACGGGGGAGGACGGGGGGAGGAGGGGGAGGGGGGTACGCACAATTATTCCCCCTCACTATTATTCGCCGCCACTGATCCCTCGCCATCACAGAAGCACATAAATATTAATACAGTCTGTGAAGATGTGAAGTGAGCGGACGTGAGTTTGGGCTCCGCAGACAGAGAGGGGCCCCCAGGGGACAGGGGCCAAAGGGGGGGGGCCCCGGGCGACTGTCAAGGGCACCTGAAGGTAAATGGAAGAGGTGTGTAAAGTGGCCCCGAGCAGAACAATGGAAGCACCGTGGGCTGTTTACGCCAAAGAGGGCCACGGTTAGAATTGATTTAAGGCGGTATTGAAGCGGCGAGCGATTGGACTGGCAGGCAGCGGACTCCAGGGCGACTGCGGCTTCAGGGGAAACACACAATCATCAGGAGAGACACACAATCATCAGGAGAGAGACATCAGGAGAGAGACACAATCATCAGGAGAGAGACACAATCATCAGGAGAGACCAAGCATCAGGAGAGAGACACAATCATCAGGAGAGAGACACAAGTATCAGGAGAGACCAAGCATCAGGAGAGAGACACAATCATCAGGAGAGAGACACAATTATCAGGAGAGAGACACAATTATCAGGAGAGAGACACAATCATCAGGAGAGAGACACAATCATCAGGAGAGAGACACAATTATCAGGAGAGACCAAGCATCAGGAGAGAGACACAATCATCAGGAGAAAGAAACAATCATCAGGAGAGAGACACAATCATCAGGAGAGAGACACAATTATCAGGAGAGACCAAGCATCAGGAGAGAGACACAATCATCAGGAGAGAGCCACAAGTATCAGGAGAGACCAAGCATCAGGAGAGAGACACAATCATCAGGAGAAAGAAACAATCATCAGGAGAAAGAAACAATCATCAGGAGAGAGACACAATCATCAGGAGAAAGAAACAATCATCAGGAGAGAGACACAATCATCAGGAGAGAGACACAATTATCAGGAGAGACCAAGCATCAGGAGAGAGACACAATCATCAGGAGAAAGAAACAATCATCAGGAGAGAGACACAATCATCAGGAGAGAGACACAATTATCAAGAGAGACCAAGCATCAGGAGAGAGACACAATCATCAGGAGAGAGACACAATTATCAGGAGAGAGACACAAGTATCAGGAGAGACCAAGCATCAGGAGAGAGACACAATCATCAGGAGAGAGACACAATTATCAGGAGAGAGACACAATTATCAGGAGAGAGACACAATCATCAGGAGAGAGACACAATCATCAGGAGAGAGACACAATTATCAGGAGAGACCAAGCATCAGGAGAGAGACACAATCATCAGGAGAAAGAAACAATCATCAGGAGAGAGACACAATCATCAGGAGAGAGACACAATTATCAGGAGAGACCAAGCATCAGGAGAGAGACACAATCATCAGGAGAGAGCCACAAGTATCAGGAGAGACCAAGCATCAGGAGAGAGACACAATCATCAGGAGAAAGAAACAATCATCAGGAGAGAGACACAATCATCAGGAGAGAGACACAATCATCAGGAGAGAGACACAATCATCAGGAGAGAGACACAAGTATCAGGAGAGACCAAGCATCAGGAGAGAGACACAATCATCAGGAGAGAGACACAAGTATCAGGAGAGACCAAGCATCAGGAGAGAGACACAATCATCAGGAGAAAGAAACAATCATCAGGAGAGAGACACAATCATCAGGAGAGAGACACAAGTATCAGGAGAGACCAAGCATCAGGAGAGAGACACAATCATCAGGAGAGAGCCACAAGTATCAGGAGAGACCAAGCATCAGGAGAGAGACACAATCATCAGGAGAGAGACACAATCATCAGGAGAGAGACACAATCATCAGGAGTGAGACACAATCATCAGGAGAGAGACACAAGTATCAGGAGAGACCAAGCATCAGGAGAGAGACACAATCATCAGGAGAGACACAATCAAGTGAAAATGTAACTAGATTTTGACTTGTTTTTTCTCTTAAACATTGTTTTGATGTATAATTTGGAGTATATAATTTCTCTATGCAAAGTGTAGTTGTTTGACCTGTGTGCGTTATTAATACGTTTCAAGGACGTCCAATAGAATTTTTTTTGTTTTAATATTTGTACATGTCCATAATGTGTATTTTCTGAGGCACATGAGCCAGTGCGGAGACGTGAGACCAGGACTAATGCGATGGTACTTCCTGGTTCTAGTCAGGACTGATGCGATGGTACTTCCTGGTTCTAGTCAGGACTAATGCGATGGTACTTCTGGACTGAAGATGCAGTGTTGTGAATATACTGCAGCTGTTTTACACCTCGTCCGGAGAAACCAAAATACTTTCAGAACAAGAGTGATCAGTTTTCCCTTTTGGATTTTTGGACCTGCATTTATCAGAACATATGTTTTTCCTAGAGCTGCTCTCAAGAGTTGGCACGTTGAGTTCCAGCGCTTATAAAAATAGACCAATTCTCCGAGCCCAATGTTTGAGTGCTTCTTCTGTGAGCGTGTACTGACCTGTCCAAAAGGCA